AGATCTTGAAAAACGGCAACAATCGAAAGGTGACTTGAAACAGTAAACCAATAGTGACTGAAATTTCTACAATTTTTTTTTCCGTTTGACGAACTATTTATTTTTTTGTAAAGTAAAAAGGAAGCAATCTTCCATAAGTTACGTCCAAAAGTTATGTCCAAAAAACATATAAATCCAATTATCTCCCATGCGCATGCGCGAATCTTAAGATTACTATAAAGAATGATAAAATAAAATGGGCCGATTAATAAATATTTGAATTCCGGTAATATAATGAGAATTACTATTTCTCGAACAATTTTACAGATGTTTTAAGTGAAGAACATTTCAAAAAATTTCAATATTTTTGCATAGAAAACATCGTGGTATACGAACGCGTTTTTTATTCGCAGTGTAAAAAGTTCAAAACTTTAAGTTAAAAATGGAAAGAAAATTGAAAAAATGATTTCAACTAAACTTGAAGAACACAAAAAAGCATACTTAATGAAACAGAACGATTATTAAAGGAGCAGGAAAAAACGTATACTTCAATACTGAGTGCAAACCTTAAAACTATTACCGATAGATTAGACCTGATAGAGAAAGATAAAACAACAATAAATGAAAAATATCGAATATTGAAAAAGATATCAATGACATTAAAGAAAGTCTTAGTTTTCAAGAAGTTAATTTATCAGAAAAATTATTACAAATAAAAAAATACTATGAATTATAATATATAAAAAAAATAATAGAGTTGAAAAATTGGTCAAAACGAAATAACCTAAGAATAGATGGATTACACGAAACACCAGTAGAAAATTGGGATGATTGTGAAAAAGCGGAAAGAGAGCTTTTTAAAAAACAATTTAAAATAACAAATGAATTGGTGATTGAACGAACTCATCGTATTGGGTAACACAAACATAGCAAACCGAGAACAATAGTCTTAAACTTTGGGAAGAAGTAATAAAACTACGATAAAATATTTAGCAGAGATTTTAAAAAGTAGCGCTGCGTTTTGATTTAATCTTTTTTTCTTAAACAAACGCAATTTTTGTTTTTTAACTTAGTGACATAAAACAGTAGATCTTGAATCGCCGCGCTTTAATATAGGGATGCCGCGAATAGTGATTTTGCCGCCGAATAGCCGAATATTCGGTAACATTAAATTTCACGGGTGATAATTTCCAACCTGCATTAGTGAAGTGAATACCGTAGGTAATTATGTGTATTTATTTTATTTGCGTGTTTGAGCATACTATTTGTTGACTATTTGTTTTATCAAATTTTGTTCCTTATAGGTTGTATTTTTTACAACCCGTTACCTAAGATATATGCATAATAAGTGTAATTCTATAGTGAAAGCTTTAGAGCATTTAGTGGCAATTGGGTTGTTTGTGGTTAATACTAATAGTTAATGTATTTATAATATAAATTGCACTAAAATTTATAAATAAACGAATTAGGTTTACTAAGTTTAATTCATTTATTTACAAACTTGATAATTTATTTTAAATTAAAGACCTCAAATATTGTTTTTAAAAACCGAATAAATACATTAACAATTAATACTATTTAAAGTCAATTTAATGAACATAAAAAACTTCGTATTTGATTGTTGTTTTGCTTGCAAAACTTACTCGTAGTTTGTTTGCTGTGTAAAAGCAAGAACTCGCGTTGTGGAGACAGAGGCGATTTTACCGGGGGTGTAATACCCCCTCCTCCCTTAAGATAGTTATTTTCAAGTTATAGTCGGTTTTTTTACGAATTTAGTCGGCTAGTTGCTTAAATCTTCGTTTTAAGGATTTTTTTTTTAAGCAGCTAGTTGGTACATTTTGAAAATTCACCCCGCCACCTCATTTTATTTGTAGAACCTCCTCTGGGTGGTCATAGAAGAAAAACGAGTAAGCTAAACTATTATGTATATTATAACTAATTATATATTTTAACCAAACAAATTATTTACTCAGACACCTTTTTTTGCTCATAGTTCTTTTGCTCAGTAAGTACTTTGATTAATCTAGGTTTAAGTTCCTTTTTTTGTTTCCAGAAACAACTTCTCTGAAAACTACCAAAACAAGTATTCTGAGCAGTACGCAAAGTTAAATGGAGCTCCTTGAAAAGAGGGAGCAAAATTAAGGGTTCTCTCACTTATACCGACTCTATGATACCATCATTAACATGTTAAAAAAAAGAATATGTATGTTAAAAAAGAAATAGTTAACTCTAAAAGAGTCAGCTGAAAGGAAATTGTGTTGAAATATTAATGATCCGAAATCAATAAAATATTATTTCATAATTGAAGAAATAGTAAAAACACAAAGAGCAAAACAAAAAATTACTTTATACTTGAAAAAAGGTTTTGAAGCGTCTAGTAGTAGCGATAATGATTTACCTCCACTTCGTAAGAAAAAAATGTCAATGAAAATAATAAAACAATTGAGATTCACATAAGTTTTCTGCAAATGTTTTGAGGAAGTTGCTACAGAAAACACGCACACAAATGAAGATGTCAAACAGAAAAGTTCAACAGCAAACGAAATTGATTTATTCATGAAAACTGTTCGCCTAAATCGGAAAACAGATCCTTACAAGTGCTGTTAAGCTAATGCAAACCAATATCCAAGCCTAGCAGAATTTGTTAAGAATTATTTATCCTTTTTAGTTTGTAGTGTGTATAGCGAGTGGCTATTTTTGGAAACAGGTCTAGTTTACAAGGAAAAGCGGAATTGTTTGCTATCAACAAATGCCGAGAAAATTGTTATTACTTATCGTAATTTACCACTGGTAGATTTCAAGTATTAAACTTGTTTTAAATTAAAAATTTTAGTGGTTAATAAAATCTTATATATATAATATATTTATAATTAGATTATTCTGTTTTTTGTTTTAGTTATAGTAATATGTAGTAATATAATCGAATTTTGATTGGTTTTTGCCATATTTCAGTATTTCGTATTCGGCCGAATAGTTTGCAATATTCGATCGTATACCGAATATCATAAAATGTTGCCGAATAATGTGGCATCTCTAATTTAATGTCTTCGAAACTGCACGTAATATACTCAATGAATATTCTGACGTAGATACACAAATCTTTCAAATAAATAATTTTGATTCACCTTATTTCAACACTAAATGTATTAAAACTGAACTCAAAACTTTTAAAAATAATTTTATGGTAATACGTATAAATACATGAAATGTAATAATATTGATAAACTAAAACATTTCTTAATCAATTGCAATTACTCATTCAGAATGATTTGCCAGACAGAAACTTGGTGCTCTGATAAATCAATTCAAAAAAATTCTAATTTTCCAATTCCAAATTATTGTCTATTGAAAGAAAAACATAGAGGGGAGAAGAGGAGAGGGAAGAAGAGGGGAGACGGAGGGGAACATAGGAAGAGCAGTATCAACTTATATTTGAAATGATCAAACAATAAAAGTAAGAAAAAACCTTTCAAATACCTATTTTGAAATCTATTTTACAGATGTACGAAGCCAACTAAAATTCAATGGTCTAAGTTATGATGAACTCGATGCTGAAAAAAACTTTCTAAACATTAACAAAGCACCAGGGATTGATAAAATTTGTAGCAACTTAGTAATAAGTGTTTTCCCGGTGATACGTAAACTCATATTTGAAATTTTTAAATCTTCAATTACAACAGGAACTGTTCAAGACAAATTAAAAATTGTAAAAGTCGCACCAATATTTAAAACCGGAGGGCTATTTTTACTTAATTAATACACACCCATCTTAATCCGTCCAGTCTTTTCTAAATTTCTAGAACAAATAGTTTACAATAAACTATATAAATGCCTAAGTAATAACAATATCTTGAATAAAAAACAATTCGGATTTCAAAAGCAACATTAACCGAACATGCGATATTAGATCTTGTAAATAAAATAAATGACTCTTTTGTTAATAACAAATTGGTTCTAGGAACCTTTATTGACTTATCAAAATCATTCGATACTGTTGATCATACAATATTACTTTAAAAAATGGAAAAATATGGCATTAAAAATGTTGCTTCAGGGCCGACGACATGGGTTTTGAAGGGAGGGGGCCACAATCGTCAATTCTTGAAAGAAGTCTTTTATATCTAGAATTTTCTTTAAAAAAAAGTCCTTTAGAAAAAAAGTAGAGGGGGGCACGTGCCTCCCCCCCCCCTGTGTCGTCGGCCCTGTGCTATACAATGTTACTTTTTTATATTTATTATTTGTTCCAAATTAATTATTTTTACTGAAAAAATATCCTAATATATGTACGATATATTATTTTATACATTGTAAACGAATCAGTTTATATTTATGATTACGTATATATTATGATCACGTTTGTAAAGTAAATATTCAACAAAATTTTAAATTGTTTCTTTATTCCCATATATGCCATCCATCGGGTTTCTTGAGAATTGATACACTTTATTCTTTTGCAAAAACAAAAAACAAAAAAACATTTGACTTGGTTATTGATGAGGAATTTTGTGTTTAAAAGCCACATTAATTGTGTGTATGTCTTTGCCAATAAGAAAATAGTTTACAATTGCAATTTATGAAAATAAACATTTACATGACAAGGGGTAGAAGAAGATAAATTTAGTCTTATCACCAAACTCCAAACATATAACATGTTTTGTCTAAATACCTAGTTATAGTGACTCGAAACCTAAATCTTTTGCTTGTTACACCGTATATTTTCAATATGGACGGCCATATTGATAATATACGGTGTATATTTATAATAATATAGCCGACAGCTATATAAAATACAGCCGACGGTTTTCTTTTGCTAGCTTCTTTTGGTATTTTTTATTTTCAGTTAAGGTTCTTGTTTTATTTTTTATTTTAGTCCCACGTGACCCCTACTCGCGCCGGCCCTGAAGCTTGTACCAAATATTTTTTTTTTACGAGTTAAATTGTATTACCTATAAGTGACTGCTTTTTATTTAGATTTTATTTTCTAACTTCTCAAGTTTTTGCTTATTTGTTGTTGTTTTTTTTATAAAAAAAAAAAGAAAAAAAGGTTTTGTGTGTTTTGTTGCCAACCCTGTCCAATATTCGGATCAATTGTAGCAACCTATTTCAAAGTCGTGATTCCCGGCTTCTTATCGCATAATCTTCGCGGGATAGCTATGGTAAGTTTAAGGGCTTCTCTAAAAAACTGAACATGCCATTAACGTGCAAATCATATATTATTAGTTAGTTCAATATATGTGAAATTTCTACTTGTCATTACTGACTAAATGATATATCTTTTAGACATGATCAGTACACTGCGTTTTTTAACGTATATTTGATCGAAAACTTTGAGTTAAGTTTAAGCGGTTAAGTTTAAAGGCTATCATTTGAATAATATTTAATAATATCTTGCTATTATTCAATAATAATTAGTAAAGAATTAAATATATTTTTAAGATTCACTATATTCTGTATGATTTCTAGTAAAATCTTACTTAAAGTTCACTAAGCAAGCTTTAATCTAGTTAATGCAGTATTTTTTAATTTTACTTTCACCATATTATTTATATAATATGTCTCGAATAAAATTCTAAAAAAGCAAGTATTAAAATAATAAAAAAAATTTATAGTCAATACAACAGTCTGTATGAGTACAACAGTTTGTATCTATGACATGTTTAAATTTATTTTGAAAATCCTTAACAAATATTTATCTAGTCTTATATTGAAAGAAGTCTTTACAGACACAATATTTTCTGGTAATCCATTCCAATGAGGTATAACTCTGTATCAAAAATTGTCTCGTAGTTATTTTTACATATTTCCCTTTCAAATTTCAGTGAATATTTTCTTAGACACTGATACTGTAATACAAATTCAGTATCTTGTCAAACTCATTTGTTTTTTTGTTAAATTCAATAAGATCACCTGTTATACATCTTACTTAAAGTGTTGTAAGACCTGACTTTATCATTCTTTCAGCATAACTTATAGGTTTTGGTTGAGATACTAGTTTTGTTGGTTGCCTTAAAAAAATTTTAGAAATCATTATTATTTTTTTTATTACTTGGTCTCCATACTGGAGCTGCAAATTCTAAATGCGGTCTAACCAGTGTATAGTTGTTTTACTATTTTAGAGTTAGGATCATTAGCGTTGCTGGGACTAATGTCACCCAGTGCGACAAACTTTTAGTGTCACTCTTCTAGACTTTCACTTACAAAGTTGGCAAGCAAGTTTTAAATTTCTAGAACAAAAAAAAAAGGGCCTAAACAAAAAAAAGTTAGAGCATAAAAAATATAATCTTTTTATCTTGAATAAAAGACAAAAGATTTGTGTGAAATAGTTATTATAGAAAAATTAAAAACTTAAAAAATATTGGTTAGACCAAAAGCAAATATTAATTAATACAAACATGAGCAGTTCTGTCATATGCATTTTTTTCATTTTATTGTCACCATTCACTGTCAGGTCATGTTCGTGTCACCTGGTGCAGTTTACACCCCCTTATGATGCCATCGGTTAAGATATGTGAAGCATTTTTAGATTATACATTTGATTTTTTTAAAAAATTTTCTATTTCATATGAGGTGACACAATTACACTTAACTTATTTTCTTATCTGTTTGTTGTATTTACTCATAATAAAATCCATTAACCTTGGAACCATTATGTTAACCATAATTGGTTTTCATATTTGACAATTCACATTTGGTAATTCATTTTAAAAAATGTTTTCATTTTGAAAATAATAGATCGTTTTCTTATCTTATAAGTGATATGATTTTAGTATCATCTGCATATAGTTTCTTGATGGATAGAAAGTTTATAACATAACAGTAAGAGAAGAGGACCTAATACCAAAACCTGTGGTACACTGCTTTAAACCTGGTATAGCATTCACCCATTATTAAATATTAAATATTCACAATAATTAAAAAAAATCTCAGAAAAATCTAAAAATTTGTATTGATATTTCAATTTTAGTTTTAAAAAGTTTAGTTTATAATAAAGGTTTTTCTTGCGTACCGAAACATCTTTAACAATACAGTAGTAAATAGTCAAATTATAAATCAATAGTTGTGAACATTTTTTTGAAAAAGCAATTAAATTTTGTTTTTATTTTATCTATTTTGGTCCTTGCACTCAATCTAATTGTTTTTTGGCAATATTTTATACTTAATTCCACATTGCAGTTATTTTTAAATTAATGTTAGTTACTGTTAAAAGTATTACAATCTACAGTTTTATTATTTTCAGCTTTATTTCTATGATATTGTTCAGTTGATTGATAATTTTTTTTTTACGTAAAATGGTGTTTTTAGAATTTTTTCCAGCTTAGAAACAAAAGTGTTTTCTACTGCTTTTTTTAGATATGCAAAGTTTAGTAGTTTAATATGAGAATTATAAAATGAATATGCAAAGAATTAACTTTACTTTTAAATAAGTATAATTTAACTTTAATTTAGTAATGAAAGTTTTAAAAGAAAAAATGCTTTTTATTACATAACTTAAAACTATTATAATTAATTGTATTAAAGCAATATAATTATAAAGAGTGGCGAACTTGACAATCTGAAACTAGTTTTTTGATGTCTGGATTGATTTTTGAGGTATTACCAAGATGGTTGTTTCCTAAATATCCAAATTGTTTAATGAACATTTAAAAAAATCTCTGTGTGTATTTTTTTGCACGCTGGCAGTGGTTTGGCCACCACTAATCTAGTGGAAATGTTTTGTTCAATAATGAGTTCAATGAAGTTTTAATAATATTATTATTTGATAATGATATTAAATGTATTGCTAATAATTATATTTATTAAAAGAACAAACTAGAGAATCTGTTGGTTTGACTTTTTTTATTTCTACCAGCTTAAAGATCAGCCTAAGTTGTTTCAGAAAAATTATCAGAATTATAATTTATAATTAGCTGAACTTTTTCTTGCTAAAGTATTTTGTATAATAATATGTTATATTTATATTATTAATAATAGGATGCTAATATAATATTGACAACTTTGATGTTGTTTTTATTGAAATATCTCAAAACACAACTTTTTTTCATAATTCATAATTTTTCATAATTCATAATTTTTCAAAATTTTCATAATTCATAATTTTTGTTTCATAATTATTTTTATGAGAAAAAGTTATTTAATAATTATTTTTATGAGAAAAAGTTCAATCAAGCTAATAATGATTTAACTTTATTATATTTATTTTTATGTAGTCAGATTCTACTATTCTACTTCAACGAAGTAACAAGTTTGAATCTAAAAAATATTCTAGTTTTGAATCAGAAGACCGCATGGAAGGTAAAAAAATATTTTTCAAGTTAGTTAACAGAAACATATATATATATATATATATATATATATATATATATATATATATATATATATATATATATATATATATATATATATATATATATATATATATATATATATATATATATATATATATATATATATGCATATATATATGTATTTATATATGCATATATATATATATGCATATATATAAATGTATCTATGATACATTTATATATATATATATATATATATATATATATATATATATATATATATATATATATATATATATATATATATGCATATATGTATATATCGATGATATATATATTTATATATATATATATATATATATATATATATATATATATATATATATATATATATATATATATATATATTTATAAATTATTAGAATTACAATTTATAATTAGCTAAACTTTTTCTTGCTAAAGTATTTTGTATAATAATATGTTATATTTATATTATTAAGAATAGGATGCTAATATAATATTGACAACTTTGATGTTGTTTTTATTGAAATATCTCAAAACACACAACTGTATTTTTGTTTCATAATTATTTTTATGAGAAAAAGTTATTTAATAATTATTTTTATGAGAAAAAGTTCAATCAAGCTAATAATGATTTAACTTTATTATATTTATTTTTATGTATAATAATTATTTTACTAGTCTTAGTAACAATACAGTACCCACAAAAGATAAGTTTTGCTTTAAAAAAGGTAATTTTTTTTGAATGAATAAATACTTGAAACAAGTCAACTGGGTTGAGCATTTTTATAACAAATCAGCCTGTGAATGTTATGAGTTATTTTTGCATACATATAATGAATCTTGTCGATTGTTTATTCCTATTTTGAATAATAAAAAAAAGAATAGTCAACCCTGGTTGGATGCAAAAGCTAAAAAAGCAATAAAGATTAAACATTCTATATTTTATTCAAATTTGCATCGACAAAGTCAAGCATCTCAAAAGGCTTTTAACAAAATGTCTGCTATTGTTTAAAAGCAAATCAAAAGATCAACTCGAGAATACGAAACGGATTTAGTAAAGAGAGCAAAGCTTGCACCAAAACTTTTATTCTCATACGTAAATAGAAAACAAAACATTAAAACGCAAATTAGAGCAATCAAGAACAAAAAAGATCAAGTTACAACTGAGATATCAGAAAACCAGTGCGATTCCAGTAAGTTATCTAATATGATTACCTATGAAAAAATTCTCAAAATGTTAGAAGGTATGGATGAGGCAAAAGCGATGGGTTTTGATGGAGTTAGTTCGTTAGTTTTAAAGTATGCTGCAGAAGGTTTTATGGACCCAATTGTTCATATTTTCAAATTATGCTTTGACACTGGATGTGTCCCTTACCACTGGTCTGTTGCAAATATATCACCAATTTACAAAGGGGGATCAAAACTTGAACCAGAAAACTACAGACCAGTATCCCTAACATCTGTTATTTGTAAAATGTTCGAAAGGCTCATTTGGGACACAATTCTGCAACATTTAGTTTCAAATAGACTTATATGTGACGAGCAAACTGGTTTTGTTCCAAACAAATCATGCACAATAAATCTTATTGAGACAATTGACACAATTACATTTGAAACTGCAAAAGGTAAACCGTTATGCGTCATATATCTTGACTTCGCAAAGGCTTTTGATAAAGTAGAACACAAAAGATTATTGACAAAGATTAAAGGGTATGGTATAACTGGTAAAATATATAACTAGATTGAAAGTTTTCTTGCAAATTGTGAAATGGTGCAACAATTGGGGTATGGAACTAAACTGCAAAAAATGTAAGGTGATGAGATTCGGCAATCAGAAAGTTTTTCGAGGTATTGATAAAACATACACAATGAATATAAATGGAATGATTTATGACCTCTCAAACAGTGTATTAGAAAGAGATCTAGGTGTCTTTGCACAACCGGATATGAGGTGGAAGCATCAAACGCAAGTATGTGTTAACAAAGCTTCAAAAATACTGGGGTTATTGAAAAATGCCTTTGAAAGTAGAGATTGTTATATGTGGAAAATTTTGTATACTACTTATGTGCGACCTCATCTTGAATTTGCGGCTCCAGCGTGGAGTCCTCCGAATGTGGCCGAAATCTCAATGCTTGAAAGAGTTCAACGTAGGGCCACAAAAATACCATACTCAAACCGAATGCTAAGTTAAAATGGATTTAATTAATTTAAATCTCAGAAGAAAACGAGAAGACCTTATTCATTTATATAAGATGTTAAACAATCTAGAATTAGCCAATCTTAATGTCAAACCAGTCTATAAGTCAAGCATTAAATTAGATGGTCCATGTTCTTCCATTAGAGGTCTCAAACATAAAATTAGAATGCAGTGTTTTACTCCTCGCAAAATAAATGACTTTCATGCATCGGTTAGCTCCAGAATCCATTTCTTCACAAACAGAGTTTGCCAAATTTGGAACAAACTTCCGGAAAAAGTTGTAGATTCCGATAATTTGAATAGTTTTAAAGCAAGTTTAGACGAATGGCTTAAGAAAAATAAGAAAATATGTATATATGTATATGATATATATGCATATATATATATCTATGATATATATGCATATATCAAGCTTGGACAGGAATGGCGCGCGATCGCACTCTGTAACTGACCACGCTAATATTTTTATTTCCTTACAACTTGACCACAGCTATTTGGATGTTTTAACAATTTGAATGCAATAAAAAAAGTGTTACGCTATAAATATCTTTTAATTGTTGATCTTTTCTAAAGTTTTTTATTTTACGCAAAGGCTTTAAATAAAACCATAAAATTAGTTATAGTTATAGTTTACATAAACGCTTGTGTAAATTAATAAAAAGTGTTTTAAATAAGTTTTTTTATGTAGGCATTTATTTTTCATGATAAATATAAACGTTTGAAACTTTTTTCTTATGTCTTCCTAAAACATTTTTAAACCATTTTTTTTAGAAAGAATTTTTTAAGTTACTTTAATTTGTGAATAAGTTCAAAAGCTTTTGTGACTACTAACTTTTACACATTTTATGTGAATTACACAAGAATATAAAATAACTTTATTTACTTATATAAGCATGTATTTTGTTGATTTAATGAAAAAGTTTTAAAGCATTTTGTATTGTTCATACAATGAATTTTTATGACTAAACTTACGATTTTTAAAAATGTTTTAAACAAACATTTTATTTTTTGTAAACTTTTTCTGCATATAATACTTTTTTTTGACAAGTTGCAAGTTTTGACAAATAACGCTTTTAAAAAATGTACTAAAAAAAACAACAAAGTAAATGTAAATGCAGTTTTAAAATTTATTGATTCCATAATTACAATTAAACTGTTAAAAAATTTCCCAAGTACTTTATTGCAATGTAATAGAATGCGATCATTGAAAAAAAATATTTAGATATGAGTTTAGGGCAAAATGAGTTCAGAAGGAATCAAAAAAATCATCAGAAATGATTTTATCTTAAAAATATTTTTTACATAACTAAATTACATTACAAAAAAAAATATTTACATTACTAAACTAAATAATTAAAATCACCTTAAAATAATTGCAACTGTGAACTATTTTTGAACTATCCTAGAGCGCAAATATTGTTTTTTTTTTTTACCCTAGCCCAAAAAAACAATATATTGATCTATAAATATACGTAAGTCAATGAGCATTGACTTACGTATCTTTATTTATTGATCAAAATTTTCAATTTTGATAAAATTTTGCATGCTTTTGTAAGTGCATGCAAAAATCATCCTAAAACTTTCTTGAAGTTGTTTTACTTAAAAAGGAATGCTATTGATTTTGTATTGGCATGGGTTTTTAAAAGTCTCTGAAATTAATTATTTTATATTTTTGTCTCTTTGTTTAACAAACGTTCAGATGTTTTATGTCGATTTGTCGAATCCTGTATCCTAATAACTTTTTAATAAAGTTTAAATTAGCACCAAAAAATTTTATTAAATTTCATGGCACTTTTAAACAGTCTATTTTACTTACAAGAAGGGAAGGGCAGACATCCTTGTGGCCTTCCCCCTCACTACGGATTTGCACTTGTATTATAAGATTGATAAGGCTGAGATAAAATATTTTTTAATTTTAGGTTACAATTAAATTTACATCAAATAATATTTTAATTTTTTCTGGTTTTCTACAATTTTCTAAATTTGCTATTCACTAAAATTTTTATTTTTTTAAATTTTTTTTTAGTTATATTTTTTTTTTTGATTTTATTCTCTTTTCAGTTTATGGATTAGTTTTAATTTAAGTTTGCTTTGTTTTTTAACGTTTTTTTCATATTTAAAAACCCTAATTATCAAAACTCGCAAAGAGCTGTGGCCAAGTTGTCAAAAGAAAATATTATATGCGTGGTCATTTAAGGCGTGCGACCACACACATTACAAATAACAGTTAGCAATAATGGTTACAAAAAAATATTGCTTTTGTGCTTTAAGATTGTAATTTTAAATAATATTTTTGTTACCCCTTGTTACCCAATTTCAAAATTTTTAATATCTTATCAATTTCAACAGTGTTGATTCAGCACTGCTGCAATTGTAATGATTATAAAATATTTGTAACAATTGTTTGAATTATTTATTTTTGTTGAAATAAGCTGAATTAAATATTCAAAAATATAGTTCTATTCTATCAAATTTTTTGTCTTTTTAAATCTAACTAAGTTAGATTTAAGATAATTAAGTTTGCGACTTGTTTTCCAGACAACTTAAATCTTACCTTTATACTCCTCAATTTTTTCCTTGTCTCTGACCTTCTCTGTCTTGTGCTTTCCTTTGTTTTTCTTTGTTAACAGAATAGTTTTTTCATGTATTAAGTGGAAGCAGTGCAGCCATTGTTGCAAAGTGCTATCGCTTCAAACATAATCAAGGTTTTAGATAAAATCTGACATGCTGGTCTTTTTTATAAGTTTTAAAAAGTTTTCATTGTGGAAAAAACTTGTTTCTCTGCGCAGCGGCCTCGTTTGTTAAGGTTTATGTTTCGGATTTATAGGGTCGAGAGAGTGTTGTTACGGCAATTAACCACAAGTAGCCACCTCAATTGTAGCAACTTTCTTGACTTTAGGGAAGTAAATTAACACAATTTAAAATAAGGCTGTCTTTGATAACTTGGGCTTCCTTCCATCTTGGTCCCAAAATGGAAAGTAACCCAAATTAATACACTTGTGTTACTTAAAGAACTTTAATGTACGCTTTTTACATATTTAAATGTTTACAAAGAATTTCATTGTTTTAAAATAATAGATAGGTTTTTCTTTTGTGGCTAATTATATTGATTATTTCAATAAAAAAGTTTTTTGAAAATTCAAACTTTTTTTATTTTATCAGAGTTCATTCTATTTGTAAGTAATTAGCATATTTTATTTATTTCCAATTTAAACTTTTGTCACAATGCTGAACAGTTTTTGAAAACTTTGGGAAGAAATCTGATAAAATGAACAGAAACTTCATAAATATCAATAGATAATCCTAATTAGCATTTTATATAACTTTTTATATATCCTTAAGAGACCAATGTGATTTTGATATTAAAAAAAAAAAATTATATCCGATAATTACCACAATAATTATGCATTTATCATAAACATTTTCATACACAAATGAACACATAAACTACAGTCATCAATTTAGAAATGTTAATTGGAATTTTTTTAAATATTTATTACCCCAAAGTTTAAAAAAAAATGTCTTCAGATATTTAAGTTGTATAAAATAATAAATACAAAAATAAATATTAAAAAAAAATAAGTGTACTAAGAAATTTAAGGAATTGTTCTGTTATATAGAACAGTCTAGCTATACATCCATTCAGTTGTTGCTACTAGTGTTTCATTGCTACAAGTTATGTTGATAATTGAAACCAAACACTCGTCTACTCTAGACAACCAGAAAAGTTTATTAGATTCACCTAAAACTGAAGGAGGTACTGTAGATAAAGTTCTATATTTTTTCCTGTTACTATTATTTTTTGGCATCTCTTTTATAAGTTTTTTCTGCCTTGTTGTGGCTATATTATCTAGGTTACCTTCTAACAGTATTCTAGCATCATTATTTCTTTTCTAAATGCTTGATTAAACCTGATTGGAAGAAAATTGAATTAGCATAAAAGAAAAACAACATTCCGATACCACGATCGATATAATCAGTAAATAGCGCCAATATGGCTATAACGAACTAAATAACAATTATGTGGCAACTATTTGAACTATTTGTGTTTTTTTTTTATGGAACAAAATTTTTGTTTAAATAGAGTTTAGTTGTTGTTGTTTTTCAGATACAAAAATATAAAGAATATAAGTGATATAGTTAATGTAAAAACGGTTAAGATCTTAAAAATATAAGTTATAATACATATTCAGTATTATTTGTGATCGCCATCAGCTCAAAATCATTTAAACCCATTTCTTGATAACTATCTTATCAAACAGACCTTGAAATTTATCAATTCAGCTCAAAAGCACTGTACTTTACCTGACCGCAGATAGGCAAGTTTTGCCTACCTGCAGTAGGATTTTGATTTGAATATTGTTGAAATTCTTGCAGTTAATGACAGTATTATAAAATCAATATTTTGCAAAGATTTGTGAGACATAAGCCTTGTTCAATATTACGGACTCTCAATTTTTAGGCAACCAAAATTTATAGCTGTTCTAACATTTAAAAGAACCACCAAGTCCTGAGATACATTGTGTTCATATTAAAGAGAATGTTAAAAAAAAAACGTCTTTGCAAATTTTTGTTTAATAAAACTAATTAATAAATATATACCAAGAAAAACAAATCTTGTTGTTTCAGTCGAAGCTTGTCTTCTCTGCGGTATTTGGAGTCTTTAAAATAAACCCAATTTTCCAGGTGCATTGTACTTGATAATTTATTCAAGTGTGTTTAATTCATAGAAGTTTTAGGACATGACGTCATTGGAAACATTCTAGAAATTCTTTTAAAATTTTACTAAAATAGCTAACTACAGTTATTTTATTTTCTAAAATCTTCACTTTGAAATATAATAAAAATGAATGATTTGGAAATTGTAAAAATTAATAATCAGTGCTTTAAACAAACAAACAAAAAAGTCTATGCGCCTGGAAAATCGCATTTATTTTAAAGACTCTAAATACCGAAGAAAATGGAGAAGACAAGCTTCGACTAAAACAACAAGATTTGTTTGCTTCGACTAAAACAACAAGATTTGTTTTTCTTGGTATACATTTATTAATTATAAAAATGAAAATATGAAAATTATGAAATAATTTTCAAATATTTATTATAAAAATGAAAATATGAAAATTATGTTGCAAATAATTATATTTTGTTGTAAAAGATCTTATAAAATTTATTATAATCATCACCATCATTATCATCGTCATCATCATTATCTTCATCATTGTAGTTTGACATTGTAGTTTTGTATATTTATTAAATTTTCTTGAAATTTTTTTTTTTTTAATTTAAGCTTTTATTTTATGGTTTGTTTTCAAATTAATCTTGTCTTATAACATTTTCTTGTTTGTTTTACAGAAAACCCTCTATTTAGATTCAAGACACAGAAGTCGATCAAGGAGCCGTGACAGAGATAGAAAACGCAGGAGTCGTTCTCGAAGCCGCGATAGAAAGCGAAGAAAAAGCCGTTCTCGAAGTCGAGATCGCCGATCTAGTCGTTCAACTCCCAAAACCAAAAGGTGATTTTTAACATAGTGGTCTCAGACATTGTTATCTCAAACAATAATTTAGAAATTGTTTAGTCTGGCTCTCATTATATAATATAATTTCTTTATAGAAACACGCTTTGGGATGTCCCTCCTAAAGGTTATGAAGATATTACTCCTGTGCAATTTAAAGCTTTAAGAGGTTTGTTCTGTTTTTCTTTTTATATTATTTTTTATGTTTTATGGCTGCATTTGTATAGAAATTGCAATGTTTAGCAAGGGGAAACCAGACACAATTTTACAATAATTTTTTTTACATCTGCTTTTATAGTTTTGTTGGTGTCTTGATAATATTCAAAATATATGTATTAATATGAGAAATTAAGGTGACTTATTTAGGTTAAAATGATTTTTGGTAAATTTATTTTAGTTAGTTTAAAACATAGTTATAAGACTTCAATTTATATATATATATATATATATATATATATATATATATATATATATATATATATATATATATATATATATATATATATATATATATATATATATATATATATACACTTTATAAACATCTGCTGAAACCAAGTTTAAAGTTTTTTTTATTTATTAGTAAAAATTACACAAGTTATTCCTTTTTTATCCTGTTGATTCTGGGTAATTTTTATAAATTTTTTTAATAAATAAGATCCTTCTTTAACAATTTTTTTAAAATGCTTCTATAAGACTTTACTACTATTTTATTCCAAAATCTTTAAGCAGTTGTTACTTTTTTTGCTGTCTCTTTTTTCTTTTCTTTTTCCTTCTTACATGGTTCTTTGTGACATTTTATATGCTGATTTCTTTTCTCTAGATAATTATTTACATATGACAACATATTTCTTGATGCTAAGAGCGTTTCTATTGAATCAATATATTTAACAGTTTTCACATTATGTAAGTTAAATTTTAATATTGTTTGTCAACAATTCTTGAAGCAATCTTATTAGGTGTGTTTGTACTAAAATACAGTGCTAAAGTATCAAGATCATGAAGTATTAAAAACTCTGTATTTAATGAAGTTTTGGGTTTGGAGTTGGATATTTTTTAGTTATTTTTTTATTTTATTTTTTCTAGTTTTTTTTGTTTTTGTTTGAAACAGGTGGATTTCAGCAAAATCGTTAACCACAAATCTTTAGATAAGCTTCTTTTTGTTTGTTTTTACATCATACAGTAGCATCATATGTTGCTGTTCAAATCTTTGTTTATATGTGCTTAATTTGTATTATTAATTTTTTGTTAGCCTTTGTAATTTTAAACAAGTATTTATAATTACCACTTCATTTTTAGTGAGTATACTTTTTCAGGGAAACCACCTACATAGTTGTTTTAATAAAGTGTCATAAGATAAAGTTTAGGCTTTTGATTGTTGTAATATATTATTTAAAGAAAATTATGGAACTTTTCTATGATCATTATGATCATGTTAAAAGTTTAAACTTGAAAGGATAAAGTATAACTTAACAGCATAGAGTTAAACTTAAAAATCCAGTTGCTAATGTTTCAATGTTGGATTTTTTTGAGAGTTCTGAAAAAGACATCTGCATATAAAGAACAGTTGGTTAAGGTTTGTATTATCTCCCAGACTGTCAAACTGTAGTAGTTGCAGAACACTTGCTTTGTAAGGGAGTACAAAGCCACCATTTATCTGAAAAAAATGTGCTCAACTTGTTTCTCCATGTTTATCAAGACTTGTGTTAAGAAGTTATAGAATTGAAAAACACTTGGTGGATATATTAAAAAATGAAAATAAGTATTTTGAAATTGCAATAAATTCATGCAAAAAACTTTTTTGAATGTTTTTTCATGGTTGATTATCTCTGTTAGATAATAATAAATATATATATATATATATATATATATATATATATATATATATATATATATATATATATATATATATATATATATATATATATATATATATATATATATATATATATATATATATTTGCTCCTTTGGTCATTATTAACAGTTTCTTGATTTAATTACTTGCTATATTTGCATTAGCTGTTCTTCAATAGTGTTTAGTTTATGTAAATAGATTAAGATTAGTTAATATTTATATTGTAATACAAACATTTTGCCAGTTAAAATAACAAATATGTATATTCATGGTATTGTAAAACCAATAACTGCTTCTGTTACTTGCGAAAGATTTATTAAGTTGCATGTTGTAGTTAAAATGCAACCTGATATATCTTTCAATCTAAAAACCTCAAAATAGTCTTTATTATCTTTAACTCTTGCCCAAAATATTTTTGTTTTTGTCAAATGACAAGAAGTTTGTCATGTAAAGTTTCAAGAGATCAAAAACATATAAAAACTATGATAATGCTCTAGCTTATGATTAAGGCCAAATTTCAAAAATATATTCATAACTGTACTAATAATTATGTAACTGTAATCTAGTCATCTTGAAACCATGTTTTTCAAGTCTAAGTCTTATTATGCATAATTTTTAAGTGTTTTAAATAGATGCTTCTTTATAAATACTTTATATTTTAATTGCAGCTTCCGGGCAAGTTGAAATGCCAACACCACTTTCTGGTGGTGTGATACCAGCCACTGCTTTGCCTCAAGGTGCACAAATGACTATGCAAGCAAGAAGATTATATTGTGGAAATTTACCTTTTGGTATTACAGAGGTCAGTTTTTTCAACCATAATAAGATAATATAAAGTAACTATAAAAAAGTTGCAAAATGTATTTTTGAAAATATTCTTTTAAAAAACTTATTTAAATCTGTTTGTATCCTAGGATCTTATGGTCGATTTTTTCAATGCAAAAATGCGAGAGTCTGATATGGCTAGACAACCTGGAAATCCTGTCCTAGCTTGTCAAATAAATTTAGAAAAAAATTTTGCATTTTTAGAAGTAAGTATCTTTGTATGCCATATGTTTTCAAACATTTTGAATTTTTTTACTGACAATTCTTCAAATAATTTAGTTTCGTTCCGTTGAAGAAACAACACTTGCAATGGCTTTTGATGGTATCATTCTGCAGGTAATTTTCTAGCATTTTAATCAAGTAAATTTTAAAATAACACAAAACAAATGTTCTATTTTTGGTTTGCTTTTTATTTTTTGTTCTTGTTAATGAGACCATTTTATTTCATTCAATAAAATAAATGGCTATCAGTTTTATTTTTCACCTCTTATTAGATTTTTTAGATTTCCTTTTGCTCTCTTTTTTTAAGATTTTAAAATAATACATGTTTAGACATGTTGTTTTAATAAATTGTAGTAGCAAATGCTAATCTATATAAATGTAAAACCATTTTATAGTAAGTTTCAGGTTGTTTTTTTTTTAACCATATTACCATATTTTTTTTTAACCATATAACCATAACATAAGAGTTTTTATTTATACTAAAGATCATTATTATAGGGGCAAGCATTGAAAATTCGAAGACCAAAAGATTATCAACCAATCCCTGGAATAAATGGTATGGCATATCCTACATTGTTTGCTGGTGACAAAATTTATATCATATATAGTGACATGAAAATGTATGTAACATAACTCAAAAAAGAATGCATTAAATTTTTTAGAATCACAAGCTACTCATATACCAGGTGTGGTTTCGACTGTTGTATCCGATACTATAAATAAAGTTTTTGTTGGTGGTCTACCAAACTACTTGAATGAAGACCAGGTATTTCTTATTTTTTAGTATTTCTTATTTTAAATCAGATTTTTTTTTATTAAATTCGCCTAAAGTTTTTTCTAATGGATAATAAATACTTATCAAAAGTGTATGCTTAACCCAATTTATTTTAAGTAATATCAAAATCAAATCACGAAACCATGTCAATAAATCATTAAATGACACTAAGAAAAAAAGATTTATTTTTATATAAAGTTTTGAAAAAAAATTGAAATTTAAGTTTAATTAAACCTTTATAAAGCGATTTATAAAAATTAGACTCAAGTATTGTAAGAAATGAATTATGTTTTTGAAAAATGATATTTTTAGTTTTAAATTATTTTTCAACTTATTAAATTGTCAAATAAATTTTCAGGTGAAAGAGTTATTGTCAACATTTGGAGAACTAAGAGCATTTAATCTGGTCAAAGATTCAGCTACAGGATTATCTAAAGGATATGCGTTCTGTGAATATGTTGATATAGGAATTACTGATGTGGTGAGCTTTTCTTTATAATTTATAAACTTTTTTGTATTTCTTTTCTTTTCTTTTTTTTTTTTTTTTTTTCTTTTTTTTTTTTTATTTAATATTTAAATTAAACTTATTTTTAAATTAACTTAATTTATGTTTTGAATTTAATTGTTTAAAAGTATTTAGTGTTTTTGTTCAAAAGTTTAACATGATGCTACATGCATGTTAATAACATGATGCTGCATGCTTATTATAAAGTTAATTAGTCGTGGGACTTAGTGACAACAAGACAAGCAACACAATTGATGAATCAAGTTTGGCTAAATAAAAAATAAAAAAAATAATATAAACTAATAAAACAACATTTAGTTGAATGAAAAATAAGAACTGTTTAGGATATTTTGTACACCATTTTATATCTTTTGAATAGTACACATATATGAATATACATATAAACATATACATTTGTATTTATGTGTGTGTGTTTACGCGTTAATAAACTACTTTTGTTTAGTAAGTATAATAGTTCAGAGGTTTTGTTTAAGAACTTCTGAATTTGAATATTGTGCTCTTTTGTAAACAATAAATAAAAGATTTATTAAATGATAGGCTATCGCTGGCATGAATGGAATGCAATTGGGTGATAAAAAGTTAATTGTTCAAAGAGCTAGTGTTGGATCGAAGACTATGACTGCACAAGTATTACTGCTATTTTGAAAGTTCTATTTTAATAAAAATTTTTATAATTATACCTAGAAAACAAGTTATTATTTTTATAATATGCATATTAAACTTTTAGCTAAACATTCCTGGTTTTGACTTAAACAAAGAAATTACAGCCACAAATATTCTTTGTCTTATGAACATGGTGGTAGCAGAAGAACTTATGGATGATGAAGATTATGATGGTATTATTTTTTTCATTTTAAATAAGTTAGAGGAATGATATCTAAACTATACCTAGACAATATGTGCCTAAATAATAAACCTAAATAATATTATATAGAAATCTTTGAAGACATACGTGAAGAATGTTCAAAATACGGACGAATAAGAAGTATGCAAATACCCCGACCTAACAACGAATTTCTGGTTTCTGGTATTGGAAAAGTACGCAATATATATTTTATGAATGACTATAATATATTATATATAATACTTTACGTAACAATTATTGCAATAATCAATTGTTTTTTAGGTTTTTATTGAATACGCAACTTCTGGCGAATCGAAAGTCGCCAGTGAAGCGCTTGCTGGAAGAAAATTTGCTAACAGAGTTGTTGTTACAGCATACTACGACCCAGATTCTTATCATCGACATGATTTTTCTTAGATCATTTATATGTAATAAACGATTAAAGACTGAAATCTTTTGATCTGAGAACTGTTAGATTAGATCGCTCATACATTTAATATAGTCAAGTGTATTATTAGGATGACCAAATAATGTTCCTGAAAAGAACATTCTGTAAATTATTCCTTTATTAAAACATCTCATCATAGTAAGTTGTTGCTTGTTACAGCGCGTCACTTGTAATATCCTTTACATACAAAATTTTTTAACGATGTTATAACTTTTACCAGTTTTCATTTTTCCAAACAGCACTATGAACTTGGTTATTTTAAACTTATCGATCCTACGATTGTAAAAAATAAATAAATTAAATATATATAGAACCCAGGATTTTTACAATTTTTTTATCAGTTGCAGGTGTCAACTAATGCCTTTAAGAAAGTTTAAATTAGCTCAACATTTTAAGTATGAATAATCATTTTAATCATGATACTGACACTGTTAATCATGATATTCTAATAAAAAAACTAGAAATGTATGGAGTATTAAACAATAACCTACAATGGTTTAAAAGTTACCTTTCAAACAGGAAACAATACATAATATACACAGAAAATGAAGAAAAAAAACATATCATAACTTGTGGTGTTCCCCAGGGATCAATCTTAAGGCCCTTATTATTCATACTGTTCATTAATGATTTGTATTTAGCATCCAAAATTCTAAACGTTATTTTGTTTGCTGATGACTCAAATCTTTTTTACTCTAACAGAAATATTAAAGATCTGTTTAGAATTTTTAATGAAGAGTTATTAAAAATAAATGAATGGATTACGAATAATAAACTTTCATTAAATGTTGGGAAAACTAAATTTATGTTGTTCCACAAACCTAGTAAAGGTGATAACCTTTTTTTAAAACTACCTGATCTCTTTATGAACAAAAAAGTTATTAAAAGAGAGTCAACTATTAACTTTCTAGGAGTGATATTAGATGAAAATATATCATGGAAATATCATATTAGATCTATTGAAAATAAAATCTCCAAAAATATTTCAATGCTGTATAAAGTTAAACCTTTTCTTAATACGGAATCTTTAAAAATTATATTTTTCTCATTTATTCATAGTTATCTTTCCTATTGTAATCTTGCATGGGCAAGTACCAATTATGGGAAGCTCAAAAAAATTTATAGCAAACAAAAACATGCTTGTAGGATTATTTTTGGCGTTAACAGAACTGTTAATGGTGAATCTCTTTTAAAGAAACTTAATGTGCTTAATATTTACAAACTTAATATATACCAAGTTATGCTATTTACGTTTAAAACAAAACATGCGTTATCTCCTAATATATTTCAGTCTTACTTTACCGAAATATCTCATAAATATCCCACTAAATTTTCATCTGATAATTTTGTTATTCCAAGATCTTATTTAAAACTCAATTCATTTCAAATTCAATACCGGGGACCATTTATATGGAAAGGTTTTTTAAAAAATATAATTAAAAATAAAATTCTTCGAGGCATCTCCTTAGAACAATTCAAAAGAGAATCTAAACGTTTTCTATTAGAAAAAACTTTCGATTTTAAAGATTTCTTCTAAAATCACCTAAAATAATTAAACCTGAAAAAGTCATCACTACTCATTTACTATTGTCTTGTGTATCTTGTTTATTTCTTATTAAAATAAAAAATATATATACTATTAATTTTGAACAGACAAATAACATTTATTCGATTTATTACTTGTGTCTTATATTTGTCGAACTAATATTGTATTGTACTTCAATTTTTAACCTTTTAGTTTTTAACTTGTAACTTTGTGACGTTAATGTAAACGGGGCTTGGCGATAAGACAGTTTATATCTTCTTCTTGCTCCGGCCAATTTTTATACATGAATGGTTTTTTCTCATTGTAAATTTAATTATACGGCAAAGAAAATATAATAATAAAAAAAAAATTTTTGAAACTGTTTTTTGTAGAAACTATAAATTTACGGTTGACATTTTCTATCCTAAATCTATTATATCCTTATGTTTTTATCTTTGTACCCCTATTTTGATGTGAAATTGTGTAGTGTCTCAAGTCTTTGTCGTGATCTTTTTTTCAATTATTATTATTAGGCTGAGAAATCCATTTTCAAAATATTTAAAATATTGATATGCAAAAAAGTTTCGTTTTAAATTTATCATTCTCATGAAATATTATAACCATTTAGTAGTCGTAAGGAGTCATTGCATAATGACGTCTTGCTCGAGAGTGGGTGGGTGAATTCCTTGAAAACGTGACGTCACGCTAGTTCTTACTTATAATGGACCACCTAGAACAAAAGAATTCTGACTATCATTTTATGATAAATTACGTAATGTTCGAATTTTAATATTATGTGGATATATAATATTATGTGGTTAATATTCAAGAATAATATAAATAGTTAAAAAATTCTTTTACGGAAAATGCTACAATGCATTGTTCCGCGTTGCCAAGTGGTTTTTAAAACGTTTTTAATAATTATTGTAAATGTGTTAACAAGTTTTTTTATTTTTTTTCAAATATCTCAAGATTGAAACCTGATCTAGACATCAAGTTTTTACTTTTTTACTTATTTTTTTGCTTTTTTAAACATTCAGTCTATAAGCTATATATACACTAAAGCCCCTAAAACATTAATAAGTATTTTTATTTATTAAAGCAAGTAATGATACTTGGAATGGATTCATAAAAAAGTTAAAATAAATTACAATCAAAAAAAAGAAAAGGTTTTTCTAGAAAATCATTAAGTGTCAATAAATCGACAATAGTAAACAATAAATTAAGTCAAAACAAATCTGGAAAAAAATACCTAATTTTGTTATAAAAAATTAAAAATTCTAATTGTCAGCCCAGGATGCAATTTTTTATAAACAGTGATCTTTTCTTGTCTTATAAATATAGTTGGAAAATGCCCTTGCAGCAACAGACATTGAACATCTTTTATCAAAGAAAATAAGTCTTCCCAGTTTTTTAATGTTTCATGCACTGAATGTAATATGAAAATAAAATTTTGTTCTTCAAAAAAGTGCACTAGATTACAGTCTACTTTAGGGAGAAAAAGTTTTGAAATAAATATACAAACAACTGCAGCATTTAGTGAGATTGGTCAAGGTTTTGGTGCAATAAAAACATTATCTTGCATGAATATGCCACTACCAAAGGCAAAAACAACATATATAAAATCTTTTGTTAAAATTTGTAAATCAGACACATACAGGTCTTACCATCACCAAAGAAGAATGTATAAGACATATCCAAAACTTTTTCAAAACAAAAGTTTTCGTAAACTTTTTTGCATTATTGCATAAGTTACATGATATGAAAGTCATGAAGAAACTGAATCAAACTCCGTCGGATTCCGCTGTACTCACTCCTACGAGATTCACAAAAGGGAAAGCATATAAAATTTGCTCGGCAAGACAATTGGTCTCTTTGATTTTTGCTTGTAAGCAAGAGTAGATTTTAAACATATTAATGGTGTTGTCTTATTTTAATGGCGAGTTTGAACGTTGATTCCATGGACATTTAGCTTTTCTAAAATGATTTCAAGCATGGAAACGCGATATAATTATGCATGACAATTAACGATAATAAGCCCTAAACTGGTTCTCTATATTGTAAAACGTGGTACTGAAGAAATGAGAAGTAGGTTTAAAAATAATAGAAAATGTTTTCGCAATATTGATTTTGCAAACGAATAAATTATGTTTGAAGTAAATAAAAAATATATAGCATTTAGCTTCCTTTACTTTTATTATCATGAGTTATCAAGCGTCGAGCATAAAAAGGATTGAGTTTTGCTAATAGCATAATCCAGGAAAATTTCCAAAGTGTTTTAATCCCAGTTTTTTGTCCTAACCGCGATAAAATGCGGAACGATATTTTTCTGAGAATAAATAAAATATAAAACTATTATTAATTTTTTAAATTTCAGTAGCATTAAAATAGTTCAATTAAAGTATTAACTAATATCTAAACTTTTGAACTGATTTAATTTAAAAATAATTTAAATTTATTTAATTTTCAATAAATTACAAATCTAAATGAAAGATAACTTTGGTCACTTGTCGTAAAACTTTGGTCGAAAATTCTTTTTTAGTCTAGTATTCTAGAGAATATTTAAATCGATAATTTCCATGACTTCACTTCGAAGTAAGAATGCAAGAAAAAACTTTTCGTTGATTGAAATTTATTTTCATTGCGTTTTTTACTTTTGTTTGCTTTTCTTTTTATTTATTTAATTATCTTCTTTTTTTTATTTTATTTTTTATTATTATTTATTGTTTTTTTTTATTTTTATTTCTATTTATTGTTTTTTTTGTTGTTGTTGCTCTTTTGTTATTTTTTTGAAGATTTTTGTTAATTTAAACTGCTTTTCAATTTGAATATGAGGAAGCCAACAGGGTAAGAAGGCTTAAAGTTTTAAAATTTTTCTAAAGTATGCATACTTTCCAATTTAAAAGTTTTAGGTCTTCTGTTGGTCTTCCAATATCCAAATTTAACAGCAGTTTAAATTATCAAAAACCTTTTCTTTTTTTTTTTTGTTCATATGTATTTCGCCGTTTAAATATTGTCACAATACCAAAGTGTGCAAATAAATATTTACATGGTCGGAGCAAAAAGAAGACAATAGTAATCTTATCACCAAACTCGGTAGTTTACATTGTATTTCTACATTACAAATAGTTTAATTTTATAAGATACTTTTTTTTATAATGCCATTAAAAGTTATTTTATTGGAGTGTCTATTCGCACGTGTTTCACGTGCGAACTGATAAATTATATAGACTATATTTAATTAATTATTTATTGACTATATTTAATTATAGTCTATTCGCACGTATAATTTAAAAAAGGTAAAGATCATCGAATTTAGAGGGAACTTAAAAAAATTAGATTTATTATTATTGGTTTTTAACTTTAAAATTAAACTAGCGCAGTGGAGTACTAACGCAGTACGTACGTTGGCTTGCTTTTGAAGGATATACGCACCGTAGTGTATATATATATATATTGACTGCTTATCTAAAGATAGGCACAGTGCAGTATAAATACAATGACGAGGGTTATGACTTGGGAATCTTTTAATTAAAAATAAGAGATATTTCTTAATGTTTATTTTACCTATTGGCACGTTTTTGTTTGTTTTTGAATAAAAATTTAACTATGTTTAAGTAATTTTATTTATTTTTATTACAATTGATTAAAAAAATTAAATTGTTTTCAAAATATATGACTTAAG